ATTTCCCCCTTGTCTTTTATTTCAGGGCATAAACACCCCTGCTTTTGTCTAATTGCATAAAAAGATCTCTGTCCGCACGGAAAACAAACACGAGCCTTTGTCTTAAACGACTGAACAATCATGCTGTGAGACCTGCTGTGAGACGTGGGGCTCGCAGCTGTCTCTGACCCATTTATGAAGCTGATGGATAGGAGGTGAAAGGGGTCTTTTGTGCGGCTGCCTTTTGTGTTTCTTGGGAAGGTGCTTATGATTTCCCGACGACAGTTCAGTGCTGATGTATAATCACTGCTGCTGTGCCTCATTGTGAACTCAAATTGCCTGAAACATATTCATAATCCGTCGGTCCGTTCTCCTAGAGTGAAATAATCAGCGACCTCTCAATCGCATGTCATGATTAAGAGATGTTGAGGACCCATAAACACACAAAGAAAATTCACAATAAAATATCGATTAAATGAGACCGATGAGAGAATTAGTTTGAGTTCGGTGTAGGGATGCATACCGGGTGGTATCCGGTATTACCGAAATACCGGTTACTGGTGGCTACGGTATACCGTACCGAAATCAGATCCGATTCCGATACTTAAAAAAAAAAAAAAAAAAAAAAAAAAATCATTTTTTAAATTTAATTTTAAAAGTCAGTCCGTGGCCCGTGATGGCGGGTGTTATAAATTAGATTGCATAATCGTTTTTCTTCATATTTTATGTATTTTTGTTGGTTCAATACTAGAAAGGTAAAAGTCCCACAAATGAACTGTGATGGGATTTGTTTTCTCTCACGGCAAATGTTGATTTTAAAGATGAGATTTGTTTGTGCAATGCCGAGATCTCATGACCTTTATTCTATGATGTATTTGTTCTCTAGTCGAATCTCAGGTTTAACATTAATTATAACGGTGCTATAACGGTCTGTTTACATTGACAAGATGTGCTATTCACGCGGCACACCTGATGTGTTATAAAAGACATTCCATAATCGGTTTTCTTCATATTTTGTATCTATCGTTCATTGTTTGTTCACTAAAAGGTCCAAGAAGTCCCACAATTGAATTTAATATTCATTTGACATGTTAACTATATCGTAAGCGCTTCATGGGAGTAATTGTGGGATGATACATTTTCAAAGTATCACGATATGTATCGGTTGAGTATCGGTATCATAAAAAAGTCAACGATATGCATCCCTAGTTCGGTGTATTTTTGTGGTTGCTTACAGCTGCAGTGGTTGAATGCAGATGAGAGAACATCTAACACATTAAGCCATCTCCATTGATTCAGCCGTGCATAGATCGCCTTGAGGTTTCAGTTAGGACTGCCTCATTTTGTGTTAAAGATATAGTGGGCTTTATTCTCAGACAGATGAAATGTGTTCTTGCTAATGCTTTGATGACACAGGAATCTATATTGATGTTGTCTTCTGTTGCTACAAAAGGCTTTTAGGTGGTGTAGACGCTGCATGGGAAAACAGTGAGGTGCAACAGCCGAGCAAAGTGAAATATGGAACAACAGGAAATAAAGAAAGCTTGTGGTTTGTGATATGAGAGATGGCTCAATCTCTAACTGTATGTGAAACTTTGGCCCCGTAAGCACGACTCTCTCATCAAGATAAAACACTTTCCTTTACACGTCAGCCCAACGCACGCTCCAGTAAAGGCTGCGTGGGTTCAGGAAGTGACAATCATTCAGTCGTCTGATAATGTCAGCTGTGTGCATTAAATGTACAATGTAGTTACTATGAGTGCAGCAGAAGAGGAACATTAAGGGAGAGATCGCAACCCACTTACAATTAACCAAGACAAACTTTTATTTATGAATCTCACTGACGTCACACTAGCGTCCTTTGCTTTATCACAAATGAGATCATTTCTTTCCTGGCTATTTCCAAAGAGCCCTCAATGAGGAAGCAGTCACAGAGTCAAGATTTGCATTTCAACATCAGCTCAAACAACTCCTGACATTCAATCCGTCTTGAGTTCTTCCTTATATTTCATCTGATGCCAGCTTCTTACATGTGAAGATTTTATTGTAAAGTCTTTGAGTGTTGGACTATAAGCTGGTCAAAACAAGCCATTTGTCAAACCTGCAGACATGAATCATATACAGAAATATGAACAAATAAGAATACTTTGACTTCATTTCTACTAAACTTTGACATTTTGTTAACTATTAGACCTTTTCTGTGACCTTTTACTTCCTACATATTGTTCCTTCAAGCCCCTGTCACACTGTCCCGAAATTGACACCCGATGGACACACGAATATGGAATTGTGAATTTCGCACGAAGATGGCCCCGAACCACACACGAAGGCAACATTACATTACATTTAAGACATACAACTGCAACGAAAGTAACACAAACAATTATGTTACAGTACTATGATACTGTACTGATATCTTCAGACTTTGTTCTTTACTTTCTCCGTCTTTATATGTAGAAGATATTAAGTTTTCTCCGTCATGTTGTTTCCATAGCAACAACAACTTTCTGTCAACTCGCCTTCAAAATAATATATTATATCCTTTTCAGTTTGCAGAACACAAATTGGGTTATTTACATAATATGTTTACATGATTTTGTTGTGCAATAAAACAACCCGATGGACACACGATAAAGGAAATGTTCAAATTCGGCTGTGATCGTAGCAACATCGGGCCATTCGTGAGGGCATCTTAAGCCATCGTATGACCGCCGGTGGAGTTTCTCAGGCTCCGGCAGCAACTTCGTGAGCGGTGGCAAAATCTTTGGCATGCCAAAAAACAGCCGAAGGACCTTGCGAAGGTTCATTTTCGTGTTGAATTCGTGTGTCAATTTTGCCCTTCATAAGGCCATCGTGAGGGCATCGTGTTATCATCGGTGCCATCGGGCATTCGCCCCGATCAGAGTGAGGGCGAATGCCCGATGATAACACGAAGATGACACGACTTGACAAGATGCCCTCACGAAGTTGCTGCCGGAGCCTGAGAAACTCCACCGGCGGTCATACGATGGCTTAGATGCCCTCACGAATGGCCCGATGTTGCTACGATCACAGCCGAATTTGAACATTTCCTTATTGTGTGTCCATCGGGTGTCAATTTCGGGACAGTGTGACAGGGGCTTTAGTGGGAATAAATGAGTCAAACCTGGGTTTTAACATTTTCAACATATCTATACGTGCTCAACCACAGGCCACAAGAAACCGCAGCAAAACAAATGGAAATCTAATCACAGAAAAGGCATGTTTTTAAAATTCTGTTTGTGTTCTCTCTTGTCAGTGAGGAAGATAAATTGGAGGCTATACAAATGTTTATATTTGGAGGGAACTATCAACCCTCTTGCATACTTTCCTTAAAGCCCCATCAATCTTACACATCTCCCTGTCGGAGTGAGACGAGGCGGTCCTGTGTAGAAGCAATACACTTTAAATTACTTTCCAAGACTTTATCTTGCTTTGAGACTTCCTGTCAGAAATAATATACTCATTTCAAAGTGAAGATTTCACATGCAGAGTCTGTAGTAACTGCATATTCTCAGGGATGCTGTCTTGTTCCCTGATACATACAAATAGTCAGATTGATTAAGAAAGGAAATGCATCCACCTTGTCTTTCCAGGAGAGAAGTAACCACACCTTAAATCGAAGTAGTTCATTTCATATTATCACGCAACTACCAAAAAGCAATCGGCTGCTCCGATAAACATTTGGTTGTGTTTTCATTCTGATCAATTAGTTTTGTAATTGAAATTAATTTGCCTTTTCTGCTGAACCAAGACTTCCACTTAGATGTAATTAGTGCAACAATGAAAACACAAAATAGACTCTCAAACAGGACCCAAAACAAGTCTGTAGTTTCAGAATGGCAGCACTTACTAGGCGTCTTGTTTAGACACAGTTATCGTTTCCATCTTTTAAAGACTTTTTAGACTTCCTGTCAGACATAATATCCCCCCCCCCCTTTTTGATGTCAGATGTTGTTGACAAAAGGTTTTCTCCGCATACTCAGCCTGTCGTACTGTACTGTAAGGCTCCTTTCAATCTCTCCCATCACAGTTTGGTGTGTTTCTGTTCTGCATGCAGACCCCTCCTCACACAGCGCTCCAGTTCACATACAGTGAGCTTCTGTGTGTTATAAACAGGCTGCAGATCTGGGCTATATCACCCCTCCTGTTTGGCCCATTCATGGCTGTTTCCTCTTCTTCCCAAACCTGTGCTTTTTCCGCATATTTAGCTTTTCTTAGGTTTGGTCGTTGGCTGTGAGGTTGTTTCTAACCCTTTAAAAATCATTGGTTGCATGCAGAAGCAACACAGTTTAAATGTCAGGTCATCTCCAGTGACGTAAGACTCAACTCTGCTGACTCATTGTCCCTTTTTCAACTAACAATTATCGTTATTATTGATTACCCCGCCGTTTATTTTCTTGACAAAAAAAAGTATGAAAATCCTACAAAATAGTCTGTTTCTGAAAGTCTAAGGCAATAGATTTCTTGTTGTCAGTAAACACCTCAGATGTGTTTATTTGTATATAATTTTAAACAAAGAAAAAGCAGGAGTTATACTTATTTGATAGGCTATTATGCATTCAAACTACCATGACGATTAATCGATTAGCAGAGTAGTTTCCCATTATCTTTTGGTCGCTGGACTAATTGATAAGTGGACTAATTGATAAGTGGACTAATTGATAAGTGGACTAATTGATAAGTGGACTAATCGATAAGTGGACTAATCGATAAGTGGACTAATCGATAAGTGGACTAATCGATAAGTGGACTAATTGATAAGTGGACTAATCGATAAGTGGACTAATCGTTGGGTTGTTTTAGCAAGGCAAGGCAAGTTTATTTATGCAGCACCTTTCAACACAAGGCAATTCAAAGTGCTTTACAAAAATGACTTTCTTTTTTAACTTGTCCTTTAGTCATTTCAAGTGTTTCATGCTAAACTATTCCTCTTTTTAAAATGCACATTAAGTTTACCTTGTCTTTCAGCAAACTAACTCTCTCATTCCTCTCTGCGTTAGGATGCAACCGCTGGGTCCTCTGAGATGTTACTGAGCGATGAGGATGGGTCAGAGAAGGAAATCCCGCCGGTGAACCACCCCCCAAAAGAAAAACCCCTCAGCTTCACCCACTGACAGCGCCATGCCCCGCCTGCCCTCCTGATTTCCCTCCCGCCACTCTACACCTTCCCTCCCATCAGACTCTCTCTTCAGTCAGCATGGCGACTCCTTTCCTCTGGAAGCTGTCCTCTCAGAAACTGGGCTTCTTCCTGGTGAGCTTCGGCTTCATCTGGGGCATGATGCTGCTGCACTTCACCATCCAGCAGAGAGCCAGCCACGAGAACAGCGCCTTGCTGAGGCAGCAGATCCTGGACCTGAGCAAGAGATACATCAAAGCGCTGGCCGAGGAGAACCAGAGCGTCATGGACGGGCCCTACGTGGGAACCATGACGGCTTATGGTGAGTAGACGGCTCTATAGCTGCATGTAACAAACAGACAGGTGGGAAGAAGTGGAGTACAAATACTTTGTGACTGTACTTAACTACATTTTTCTGGTATCAGTACTTTACTCCACTACATATTTTTCTGATGACTTTTACTTCTTACATTTTGAACACAAATACCTGTACTTTCTACTTCTTACATGTTGAACCCAAATACCTGTACTTTCTACTTCTTACATGTTCAGTGTGAGAAAAAGTTTTTAGAGAGTACTTGTCCATGGACAAGTGAGTTTGGCAATTTACTTGTCCGAATACATTTTTCACTTGTCCAGAATGGACAAAAATTGGGGCCACTGGAATCTTCTTCTTCGCCATCGTATTTTACATTTTCCCACGGTTTTTACGACACCGCTAACGTAAGTGAGCGGTAACATTTTACTGCATCACACATAGGGTTGGGTATCGTTTGGATTTTAACGATTCCGGTTCTGCTTTTCGATTCCGGTTATTTTCGGTTCTCGATTCCGGTTCTTTGAGAGGTCAAAGTCAAACTGGGAGACAAATATATTTATGAAAACATTAAGTCAAATCTGTATTCCTATTTACAAATAACTTCATACTGTTTAATTTCTTACGGTTATTGAATACAATTATATAAAAATAATCTCTGTATTGTTTAGTTAGTTCTAAGTGGTGCAGTTTGAGAATGTACAATTGGCCCAGTCTCCTCTGATGTTACACTGCAACCTGCCTGTGAGACAGAGTCCAACCACACATGTCCAACACATAGGACATAACCTAATAATAATAATAATAATAATAATGACACATTAGATGTATAGCCTATAGGCCTAGCGCTTTTCTACAACTCAAAGACGCTTGCACGCTTACACATGTCCTGCAATACATATGCTGCAGCTGCCCAGCTGCTCACTGTTTGTAAAAGTAAATACATAGTATTTTCATTTCAATAATGTAGATACTTTCTATACCTTGCTTCATAAACAATACTGACATCCCTGTGCTCCTCCGAGTCTGGGGGTCCGGGGATGTGAGGACAGCGCGAGGACACAGACAGGGAGGCTGCTTTACTTCATAAAGGAAATTGCGGTCAATATTAACAACACAGGAGCTAAAACGCTTAATAACCTTCATTACGTGTTAGAGAAAGAACATAAGAAAGTTTGACAAAGATGAGGCTGTTAAACGGGCAGCGGAGCCGCTGTGTGTAGAAAGAGAGAGAGAGAGAGAGAGAGAGAGAGAGAGATGCTGAGCTGCACCATGCAGCGATCAGCTGATACGGAGCATAGAGAGAGAGCTGCAGTCCGCGGGGCTCGGCCTCTTGTCCTCACAACTCTTATTAATCCCGATACCGGACAATTGTTATTTGTTCCTACTCGGAACCGAGTTTTGCTTCCCAACCCTGCCACTGTGCTACACTTCCCGCCCCGCCCCCGTCTAATTGTACAGAAAGCGGCGAGATGCATTTCCTTAGGAATCGACAAGCAGAACCGAAACTAACATTTCTAAACGAACAATGGCGGACACGTACAATTTGCGAATGAGTTCTGCCTTTTGTAAACTGAATATATCAATCATTTGTCAATAAATCAGGGCGAAAAACGTCACTTGTCCGCCGGACAAGTCAATTGAAAGATCTACTTGTCCGATATTGTAAATAACACGTCCCGGACGGTGGGACGTGTACTTTTTCGCACACTGATGTTGAACCCAAATACCTGTACTTTCTACTTCTTACATGTTGAACACAAATACCTGTACTTTCTACTTCTCACATGTTGAACCCAAATACCTGTACTTTCTACTTCTCACATGTTGAACCCAAATACCTGTACTTTCTACTTCTTACATGTTGACACAAATACCTGTACTTTCTACTTCTTACATGTTGAACCCAAATACCTGTACTTTCTACTTCTCACATGTTGAACCCAAATACCTGTACTTTCTACTTCTCACATGTTGAACTCAAATACCTGTACTTTCTACTTCTTACATGTTGAACACAAATACCTGTACTTTCTACTTCTACATGTTGAACTCAAATACCTGTACTTTCTACTTCTTACATATTGAACCCAAATACCTGTACTTTCTACTTCTTACATGTTGAACCCAAATACCTGTACTTTCTACTTCTTACATGTTGAACACAAATACCTGTACTTCTACTTCTTACATGTTGAACACAAATACCTGTACTTTCTACTTCTTACATGTTGAACTCAATACCTGTACTTTCTACTTCTTACATGTTGAACTCAAATACCTGTACTTTCTACTTCTCACATGTTGAACACAAATACCTGTACTTTCTACTTCTTACATGTTGAACTCAAATACCTGTACTTTCTTCTTCTTACATGTTGAACACAAATACCTGTACTTTCTACTTCTTACATGTTGAACACAAATACCTGTACTTTCTACTTCTCACATGTTGAACTCAAATACCTGTACTTTCTACTTCTTACATGTTGAACACAAATACCTGTACTTTCTACTTCTTACATGTTGAACACAAATACCTGTACTTCTCACTTCTTACATGTTGAACTCAAATACCTGTACTTTCTACTTCTTACATGTTGAACTCAAATACCTGTACTTTCTACTTCTCACATGTTGAACACAAATACCTGTACTTTCTACTTCTACATGTTGAACTCAAATACCTGTACTTTCTACTTCTCACATGTTGAACACAAATACCTGTACTTTCTACTTCTTACATGTTGAACACAAATACCTGTACTTTCTACTTCTCACATGTTGAACACAAATACCTGTACTTTCTACTTCTACATGTTGAACACAAATACCTGTACTTTCTACTTCTTACATGTTTGAACTCAAATACCTGTACTTTCTACTTCTTACATGTTGAACACAAATACCTGTACTTTCTACTTCTTACATGTTGAACTCAAATACCTGTACTTTCTACTTCTTACATGTTGAACTCAAATACCTGTACTTTCTACTTCTCACATGTTGAACACAAATACCTGTACTTTCTACTTCTTACATGTTGAACTCAAATACCTGTACTTTCTACTTCTCACATGTTGAACTCAAATACCTGTACTTTCTACTTCTTACATGTTGAACTCAAATACCTGTACTTTCTACTTCTTACATGTTGAACACAAATTACTGAAGTACATTTCAAAGCCCTCTTTACTTTTACTTTCACCAGAGTATTTTTAAACACGAGTATCTGTACTTCTACTTGAGTAAAGGACGTGTGTACTTTTGCCATCTCTGCTAACAGATTCAAGATCAAGATTCAAAGGTTTTATTGTCATATGCACATAAGCTACAGAGTAGAAATGGCAATGAAATTCTTCTGACCTGAGCTCCTCCAACAATCCAACATATATATATATATATATATATATATATATATATAATAAAATACAAATAGAAAACAGGGTTCTAAAGACATTCCCAATATATCTGGTAGATGGGGGAAGCTGCTGAATGCTGTATGAGCCATAACAGATACATAAAGTGTTAAAGTTAATTCAATAACTACACCACTATCTAAATAACTACAAATTTGCAGCAAGGCCTAATCCGGTACAAGACATAATGCATTTTATAATCTTAAAAGACCTACATTTCGATATAGCATGACTGCATAGCTTCATAAGGTAATAATACAATATATATTTAACGGTTATGATATAGTGCTGATCTTGCTTCCCCTCTCTTTACTGTCTTCTTTACATGTAAGCGACTGGTTCCACTTGTCTTCCTCCTGAGCAGGCTCAGCATCGCCTGTACTGGAAAAAAACAATACCCCGGGAAATATATAACGCTGATCCAGCTGCATCGGAGCATAATACTGTAATAGCAAAGGGTCCAGGAGAGCCATCAATAAGTTATTCATGCCATTAATAGACCTGTATGGCTCGATGGGAAACTTCATTAGAAACCTGAGATTGGAATTGATTGTTCTCTAATGCCCAGAGAAACAACAGGATACAGTAAAGCTCCAGGAGATTAGAAAAACTCCCAGAGAAGAAGAAGCAACGTAGAAAACAACTGTTTATTTTCAATTTTACAAATCAAGACATATCTTGACGTAGGACTTTTCTACACGAGGAGAGACGTCTTTAGCACGATCGGTTACACAGGGATGTTCTTTTGAAACTCAATTAAGTTGAAACAACCCTTTTCACAGCAAAACGTATTTAATGTCGAAATATGTGGAAAAAGCCACCCCATTATGAGGTCCCAAATACCCCAAATTGCTGCCTTGAAGGACATCAAACTTAGAGTAACTAGTGATGTGTAACTCCTCAGATTTATACCTCAAGATGAAGAAGTGTGTACAGCTAGATCGCAAAACTTGACATCATTATCATCAATATACCTAATTTAAAAACCCTAGTTCTCTCTGTAACATGATCCAGAGTTTCCGACCACGTTGCTTTATCTTATATGATGGATTGATTTTCACCGTCTGCTGACCAGCGCCCAACATCGCATCCAAATCCATTTCATGTCCTTAATTGGATCAAGAAGCAGCAGGAAGCTTGGAGCCTCCTGTGCTAACTCACTGATAACATTTAGTTTCCTCCTTTGCTGCCCATAAATGACCCATACAGTCTTAATGCAAATGTAATACTGCCTTTGACGAGCCAAATGTATTTATATTTATACAGACCAATACCACCAATTTGCCTCAAAGGACTTCACAATCTGGACGCCTTCTGTCCGTGGCTTGTTAGAAACACACCTGTTGCTCAGTGTAAAACATGTTAAGCAGGTACATTATTTCCATTTTTGTGTTAAAGGTCCCATGTCATGCTTTTCCGGTTATTACCCGTCCCCTTGTGTGTTATGTAGCGAGTAAAACTCTAACCCAGAAAATACCTCCCCAAAACGCCTCGTTGGAGAAACGTCACTGTCCATTTGATTCTTCCGGGTACGCATGATGTCAACCGTACCCGGAACGAAATGGACCAATCCGTGGAGCCGTTACG